GTCCCCGAGGCTGCCTGACGCGGGGCTGTGGTTGTGCCGGCAGCGCCATTTCTGCGTGTTTGCCGTGAGCTTCCCCGGCCAGGAGGCCCTCACGACCATCTACAACACGATCCTGTCCCAGCACCTGACCTATCGCTCGGCCCCCCTGGTGGTGCAGCGGATGAGCGGGCAGCTGGTGGCCTCGGCCCTGGGTAAGCCCTGCCGCCCCCTCTCGTCGGGAGAACCGCCGCTCTAATGGGGCTGGTGGCTGCTGTCTCTCCTCCCTGGTCATGTTTTCTGTACTTTCCCGTCAGTGTCTTTAAACGATGCTGTTTCCACAGGAGATGCTGTGAGATCTGATTGGGGGGCAGGGGGGCGGGGCATGGGAATGATGTGCACGTCGCCCGGGCAGCAGGCTTCCTCCCCTTGCGCTGCAGAGTTCTTAAATTGTCACTGGCTCGCAGAGCATTTGCCTTGGGAACTGTCCCCCTAAGCCTTGCCCTTCCTGAGCCCAGCGGGACACAGAGGATGGTGTTCTCTGACCACAGCCCTGCACCAGAAGGTCACAGCCACCTTCCTTCCCACGGCCATCAAGTTCCACTACATCTTCAACCTCAGGGACCTCTCCAGCATCTTCCAGGTACCGCTCCGCGGCGCCGAGCCCCGACCCGTAGACACGCTCCTCCTCTGCGGCTCGCGGGAGAGAGAGCCCAGTGACCTGTGGACTGGGGACAGGGATGGTGATGGCGACGCGATGGTGATGATGATGGTGACGGTGGTGGTGGTTATGATGATGGTGGTAGTGGTGATGGTGGTGATGGTGATGGTGGTGGTGGTGGTGGTGATGGTGGTGGTGGTGATGGTGATAGTGATGATGATGGTGGTGGTGATAGTGATGATGATGGTGGCGGTGTGGTGGTGATGGTGGTGATGATGGTGATGATGGTGATGGTGATGGTGGTGGTGTGGTGGTGATGGTGGTGGTGGTGATGCTGGTGGTGGTGGTGGTGGTGATGGTGGTGGTGTGGTGGTGATGATGATGGTGGTGGTGTGGTGATGGTGGTGGTGATAGTGATGATGATGATGGTGGTGGTGTGGTGGTGATGATGGTGATGGTAGTGATGATGGTGGTGGTGGTGATGGTGGTGATGGTG